GGTTGCCCACTATCACTTTTCCTATTTAACTTAGCAGTTGACGAAGTCATAGAATCAGCATCCGCTGGACACTATCTAGAAGGTGTGGAGCTACTTGCTGGTGAGTGACTTCTTGACTTGGAATATGCGGACGATATTGACCTAACCTGTGCCAGTTCCCAAGCAAGCTAAGCAGCATTGGACCGATTTGCACTGGCTGTCAATCGTTTTGGGCTATGCTTTGCTCCATCGAAATGCAAAGTACTTCTCCAAGATTGGCAGGGACCCAACCCCGCGCTAACGCTTGGTGGTGATCTGCTAGAATTCGTTCAGGAATTCAAGTACCTGGGCAGCTATATTAGCACCCGTGGGATTGAAGATGAGATTACGAACCATATAGCAAAAAGCTCGAGGTGCTTTTGCCAATCTCCGCCACCTTTGGCACAGACGCGACATTACTCTCGCTCTGAAGGGCAGAGTTTACAACGCAGCCGTCCGTTCAAGCCTCCTATCTGGTTGTGAAACCTGACCCATCAGGTCGACAGACATAGAGAGGCGCGTCACACTCGACCATCGCTACTTTCGCAGCTTAGCTCATGTCTGGTGGAAGCACATCGTGACCAGCGAGCGTGTTCAGCGTCGCCTATTTGGTGTAGGAAGAGCGATTGTACCACACAACACTACTATTTTACGCACCAGGCTCCGATGGCTGAGCCACGTGTTGTGCATGCCAGCACACTTTCACGATGTGCGTTGTTTGCGCGCCGGGGATGCGGTTGGAAGAGGAAGAGGGGAGGCCAAGCGATGACTTGGTCCAGAGGAATGAAAACCCTCACTTTGAAATTGGCGTCGGTTGGTGCATCCCGACTGCCTAGCTGGGGTCCTAAGAACGGTGAACACGTTTGGTTGGACACACTTGCTGATATGGCTTGGAGCCGGCCCCAATGGCGTTTGTGTTGTGAGTTTCTTTGTCCATCCCCCTCTCCTTAGGTTCCTTCTCCAATCCCAATCTCATGCAAAGCGCGTAATGTATTATATTTAACATCATATTTTTGTAATGTAACCTGTGGTGTAATTTTTTAGTCTCTTCTCTTTTGTATTACGGCACATTAGCTGAGGTGTGTTTCTCAACCTCAGCTAACGTGCACTGATGATGATGATGATGGCTATGGATACGAGCGGTTTATGATCAGTATACATTGTAGTTTTCCTCCTAAGGATGTAATTGTTGATTCGCTCCATTGCGCAGACGGTAGCGAGCATCACCATTACCATTTGCGCAGAGCGCTTTACCGGCTCTGTGAGCGCTCGTCTACGATAATCCAGGGGCTACGTGTCTTGCATAAGAACGGCGTCTATTCCACTCTGACTGCTGTCACATTGCACCTCCAAAGATAAAGCTGGATCATAGTAGCCCAGGAATGGTGCACAGCTTATGAGATGTTTGATGGTAGTAAAGTCGGCCACCTGCTGTTTTCTCCAACACCATTTTACACCCTTCTGTGTCGTTCTCCGGATTGGCATCATGATTTCAGCTAGCCTTGGTAAGAAATGGCTCATATAATTCATCATTCAATGTAAACGACTAACTACCTTGATGTCCTCAGGTTCTGGCATCCCTTGCACTGTCTTGGTTTTCTCGGCATCCATCTTTATTCCCTCGGATGTCAGTTCGTGCTGGTGAAAAATCAGTTTCGGTTTCCGGAGCTCAATTTCATCGCATTAGAGCATCATGTTCTTTTGCAGGTATTGCTGCAAAAGTGGTGCAGATTTGCGTCATGCTCCTGTTCGATTGAGCCGTAGCTCAGTGCATCGTCTGCTACATGGTTACACCGCTTAGATCCTTGACAGATTGTAGTAACCGCTTTTGAAAAATTGCGCTTGAAACCTTCAAACCAAACGGGAATGTTAGCTAGCGAAATCGCCCGAAGAGTGTGGTGAACGTCGTCAGGAAACTGAATTCCTCATCTAGGACCACATGCTAGAACGCCGATGATACATCGCCTTTTATGAAGTAGTTTGCCGTAGCCAAACGCTGCAGGACATCTTCTAACGTTGGTAACGTATAGTGTTCGCTACGCAAGTTTCATTCAACGGTTTAGGATCTAGGCACAGACGTAAATTACCGCTTTTTTCGTAACAATCGCGACTTGTCTAACCCGGTCTGTCGGCTTGTCGACTTTAGCGATTACACTCAATTATGTCAAGTTACTTAATTCGGTGACGAACCTGTCACTGCCGGCAGTACAGTCGTTCGTATTGACAGAGCTAGCAACAAATTAACAGTATCTTCAAACCTCCCTAAACCTGGGCTAAACACGGACGGATATCGCGAACTAATGTCGGTTTCCGTTCGACACGTATGCACAAAACACCCATGGCTAAAATGAACAAGGCCAAGAAAATGGATAGAATCAGTTCCGAGAATCGGCCTGAGATCTTCCGCGACAACGAAATCCAACTGATTTGAGGATTCGCATTTGGGATTGATCACTTAGATTGTAACTATGTCCTTCTGTTAGAGCTTGGGATCGTCCCACATGCGCAAGAAGTCTTGATCTGGTCGCAGATGAATTTCTGGCTACCGTTTCTCAGGTACTATGTTGATGGTAGCACCAATGTCTAACTGGAAGCGCACACTTTCGTCCCCAATCAATAACATTAAGTAAAAGCACTTCTTTGATCCCATCCGCGACAAGTTGCGGATTGAATGTTCATAGTCGAAGGGTATTGTATCACGACTAAGTGCATTCACTTTGGGAGACTGACAGCATCGAGCGAAATGATTTCGTCTGTCACATTTGGCGCAAATTCAACCCCAAGCCGGACATGGAGTACAATCGTTCGGGTGTTACGCAGCTCAGAATTTGCAAGTTTCTTGTATATTGGTAACAGTCTTCGCAATTTTGTCCGGTAAACGGGATACGGCACATAGCACTGCTTCAGTCAGGAACCGCATTTGATGGATGTGGCTTGCAGCTGACGATTAAGACATTGTCTAAGCGAGAACTGTCATTAGCGTAATAGCCACTTGGTGATGTTTTCCTCATTGATCACAAGTAGGATTCTATCTCGAATGAGACTGTCAGTCATACAATCGCATATATTACAGGGACAAGCCAGGATCTGTAAGTCCGTAACATAGTTCTCGATAGGTTCATTCGAGCGCTAGTTTAGAGTAAAAATCTGATGCAGCTGAAATATCTCGTTAGGCTGGCCCTCACAGAAATCACCGAATTTTCGGATGACTGTTTCCATATCAGCCGAGTCTCCCTCATTTTCGTAATGCATCATTCCCAGGGCGCGGCGTGCTTCATCTCCGATTGTATGTCAAAGCATCGCCAGGCGATACGCCATTGGTTATTCAGTCAGGCGCACCAGTACGCAAACATCGATCCACTATCTATTGCAGCTTCTCGAATTACTGGCCAAGTTGTGTTGTTCCATGTTCAACGGGGTAGGCGTTTGCACGGCTGGCTGCGCTCCACTCCACATCTGAGCACTGTTCGGCGATCTTGCCTAGGTCTTCTCTGACACCATATCATAGAACTCGGTCCTTCAAGGACAAACGGTCTATTCAACAAAGCAATTTCAACGGAACTGACAGCATGATTAGGTTGCAGAAGCGTCGATGTAAATGACTAGTTCAGTTCCATAACTATGGACGTTACTGCATGCATGAGATGCTTCCCTTGAATCATTCAAACAAACTCACTACAGCACTGTCAGATATGAACCAGTCAGCGTGTAGGCGGAGATGCGTGAGTGTCCAATCATCAGCTTCGTTCGCTTGCAGCAAGCTAGCCGTTTGCTTCATCAACGAAATCTGTATCGTTCTGCTTGCATAACGCCATCATACCCACTAGAACCTTACTGCAGAGAGGATTGCATGACTCTGCCAATGAGAAGCAATGTCTAGTATGTCTTGGTGATCAACAGACAGTATTCTATCCCGGGTCATTACAGCCACATAGTACGAAAAACGAGATAAAGAAATCGCCAGCTGTACGACGTAACGGGGCTTCGCCGACACGCGACTACCATCAGTCGCACGTGGGCCGAGTATACCACGAAGACGCCAGCCCCCACGCGGATTCGACCCGATGACCTTATGGTTGCAAACCAGACGCGCATACCACTCGGCTACCGGCCAGGACAGGACTGGTCCCGTAAACTGGAAGTGTTATACACTGCCTTTTCTTATCCTAAACTAAAAGTAAATGGTTAATTTTACATTCGCAAGCATATAGGGAAGGTGATCAGTGTACATTATTGAACAGTTCCTGTGGATAATACTTCCGTTGAAGTAAAGAGATGGGGACGTGCACCATCTCGAGGATAACACCATTAGCTAAGCTATTTTAAGACGATATAAATCATTCTCAGAACCGAGATGAAACGTAACCTTTGCCCGAACATACTGTTGGCGAGGGAGCCGCCGAATACGTCAATAGTACGACCCACGCATTGATAACATTTGCAATATAAGCATCTCGCATTTTTGAAACTAATGTATAAACTGAACATGTACTGACAATGTACAGACAGACAAGGAAGACAAACTGGGCAAAGCTACGTGGTCTGCTGAAACAGTACACACAACTGCCAAAATATGATTGTAAATCTACATTGACTTTGATATATCGAAACAAATTTCTATTCTATTTTAACTTGTTGTGCATTCCACATAAGCGTTCAACACAGCGCATTTGGTCAAATATACTTAGGCGCTAAATTGGCAACAAGTTTGAGAGCAACCACCAGTGAAAAAGAAATACCATTGACTGGATTCGTATAGCTTAGGCAAAGTGCAAAGCTTGATATGGCAGAGAAAAGCCGAATAATGTTGTATATTTATAACCAGTGACTGTATCCGTAATACCAGTGGGTTTGTGTTTTTCCTGTATGTCTTGTAGAGCGTTTAGATCCAAACACATCCGTTTTACAACCTAAAGGACAGTGTTATTTGAGTGTAATCTGTGACGCACAAACGCCTTCTCAGCCGTCATATCGCATTTCAGAAACCTACACTTGTGAAGCAGTCTGTTCATCTGAAGCCACTGCAAATCCCTGATTACAATCAGCTGAATCATGTTACCTGCAGAGGTGAACGGAAATATCTACCAACAACTCGGAACAATGAAGTTGGTGGGCTATATCCTCGTGGCGTCTGAGACGGATCACATTCAACATCCCGTATATAATGTACAATGTTTCACATTGTTAAACATCATTGTATTCTCTAGATGACAATCAAGTTGATGAGTTTATGGCCCATATTTACACTTTGAATTAATGTTTTTAATGTTGTAAGTTGTTTACGACAACGGATGTAATAATGAACCGTTTTTTATGACTTGGAAGACCTATTAAGCAGATCATATGCATCAGCTCTGACCACCAAGCATTTCATTTACCTTTTAACTCTCTCCTAGAGATTGCGTGGCTAATGCTACTTCTGTGGTCTTCAAGCGTTCCTCCTCTTTTGAGATAGGCACCAAATCCTGACGAAAGATGCCTTCAAAATTTACTATGCTGTGCCAAAGCGATGCCCGAAAGGGCTAAGGAAACGACTCTTTCAGACGGCAGGAGTGATTGAGAACAGGTTAACACAGCGAGAGCTACGCAATCACAGGGTGCTTGTGCATCTCCTGACTTTGACACAGACCTAACGAGAAAAGTTTTCCTTGGAACACCATGGATGACTAGATGCTTGTTGTTCCGGCTGTTTGTTACTGTTGTTCTTAATGTTTTCTATTGACTAAAGTTATTTCTTTGCTTAAGTCTGCTAGTTCTGTCGCGAAATCCATCAGTTGCTTAGGTCGATTTGAACATCAAACCAATGTGATAAATCTGATAAAACCGTCCCCACCGTTCACAATTCTGCTTTTACCAGCCTACTGTTACCTTTGTCAGTCCTGGAACTGTAATTGCCTGATATGAAGTACTGAGAAGGGATCAGTTTGCAACTCTGATCTACTCTGTGATACACTTCTTGACCGTTGCCGTCTGGATTTCTTCAAACCTCTATACTGCTGACTCTTGGCGCAGTAGTATGTTTTTGGTCCACCACATAGAAAGTTATCCAAAGAAATGCTACTTGGACTCCATCGATAAACAGTGCATAAATATTCTAGGGTGCACCATTTGTACTTCTACGCTTAAATGAACACTGAATAAGCATGAATGTTTGGCACCGCCAAGACAAACGCATACAATATTGGCTGTTGTGTGTCACCCTACAGTGAACGAATAGTAGCTGCAAAAAACGTTATTAGTTGAAGCGGAAAACTAAAAATGGCGTTCCGAACTGCATGTTTGGGTACTTGGTGTTAGTCGTACTCCATCGCGATTTAAAAGAAGTTGCAATCCTGGTCACCCTTGAAATTTGTTTTCTAAAGTACTAACAAACAAGGGAATAAAGCTGGGCCTCTACAGTGCATTTGAGAAGAGTCTTTCGTTTTTGCTCAGACGCCGCGCTGGTCAGGGGTAGATTGGAACGCACTAATTTGCCGACCCACCAATGGCATGTACGTCTACTGTATTTACTCATCCACGCATGTCTGGGGGTGTGAATACGACGTGAGGACGCATTGCGGTGCATGTGTCCTTGAAATATGTTAATGACCCTCGTCGATTTCGACAAAGGCCAGCTCAGATTGGGTCGATGCCGACGTTTTTGGCTGGTAGTTTGCAACATCTCGACAGCAGTGCATAATGCACTGGCTACCGTGTTCAAATGTTGATGGCGCTTCGACAGTTGCTTAATGTTATCCCAGCAAATGATAAAAGGGTTAGTGACAACGCTGTTGTAGACTGAATGTTACCTTCACATAAACCACCTTAGCAAAATAAGCATTCGTAACAATTAGGCGGTGAAAATATGAGATGCTACTTCTGCATAAATGAGTCCGGAACAATGTCTACCAGCTACTGGAGGCTCATCGGATCTATTTGCAAGTGCGCGGCCGCCTAAGGAGTTAATTCCAGCAGAATACAGAAATAAAAAGAAAGCTGAGTGCAGTGCCTTTTGAACAGATTTTATCAAATCTCATTTTATTCCATCAGCTTGGAGAATTAAATCAAAATCAGTTTCGCAATGAGCACGAGAAGGAATTTTACAGTATTGGTATGGTAAAAGAATCCTAAAGTAGATAAAGAAGCGTTTAGGTCAAATCTAATCACCCATTTTAGAAAGAAAGGTGATGGAAGAATCCAGCGCGTACGATGCATTTATTTGATTAAGCCAGTCTGTTTACGGCTGAATATTCAAGCGTTGTTGGTGTATTAAGCATTTTATTGACTTGACTTGAGTTCCCCGCCTTGGCAGAGTTGAATGTTTAAATATTCCTTATCGCCCAGATACGTATCCGGCCAATTTGGAAAACCTTAATATGCCATGGTACTAGAATTTTTATACAGCACAGCATATTCTCAACTAGGTGAGGCACGGCCCAGCTAAGCTGCTCCGATCATAAGGTACAAAGGAAAAGCAGTGTGATTTTACCAAGTGCCGTAGCAAAACACTTGTGGTTTCAATTCCATTGGTTCGTACCTCATGGATTTCGTTTCAAAATTCTTCGGAAACCACGACAACTGGAAACGTTCAGGTATGTTTATGCGGATGATTGGGAAAAGCAAGCAACCACCTTTTATGAGGTATGCGACAATATGCACATGTCAAACCTAATTAAAATGTTTATAACTATGGCATATAACGATGAAGTGTAACTAGTGAAAGCATGTGCGCAAACATGATCGCACAACCAAAGGTTAAACTGTGAACTGCATCCATCATGAAACATAAATTAATTAGATTTAACGAAGTACCTCACAAAAGAGGTAAGATGTGATAACAGAAGGCAAATGGAATTGCGTATATAAATTGCGTGGGTAAGTTACAGGCCATCAACCGTCCACCCATTCAATAGGCCCAGGTCTTGCAGGCACTCATATCTTCAGCTAGCAGTGGGATAGCAAGGAAGCACTATATGAAGGCTAATCACAAAGCTTGCTTATTCAACCCACCAATGTGCGCATGTTTTTCAAATGCCATCAGGGTGTCTTCAAGCTAAGCCTGAGCACAGTATGAGGCAGTGCAGATGAAGTAATAATCGACGATAAATCCCATCTATCCAACTCATCGTGGTGCCCGGGTTTTCATAGGTCACCAACAGTCCATCAATCTGGGTAACACAAAGAATATAACAGCATAGACTAAGAGATAATCAGAGATAGATCTCAATTCTCCACTGTTTTAATACTCCACCAGCGGGTCCTCAATGCGATTGATACCGAAGGATGTGACAAAGTAGGAGGAAATAATGAGCGGCAAAGCTAAGTTATCTAGTAAGAAAAATTCATGCTAAATGACACTGTATATCCTCCATATCTTTATTCGTATTTTGTATTGCGAATTCTACAGGTACGTAGATGTTATCGGGTACGTTATTGTTCACCCATTCGTCTGTGCAACTGACGCGAAACAGTTCTCTAACTCTTTTAACAGTTAATTACCCTTTTATTTGCGTCTTAAATGTTAGGAGCAACGATGTACTTCTGATGGCCTGACGGAATCTAATCCAAAACGTGGGATATTTGTCTTTAAAGCTGTTGTACCGCAGACGTGTGTGGCAACGAGGTATGTTTATCACATAGGCTTTGTTTCTTAGGTCATACGGTGACAATTCTTGGAATCCCGGCTGATAGTAACTAGTGTATGTCCGTCAATGAGTAATTTTGAATGGTAGACATACATTCAGCCTTAATCTTTGTAACCATAGTGGTTCGATTTTTATCAGATGACATCTATGTTTATAAGTGACCTTAGACGTGCAGCCTGCGATTCTTTTTGTAAACGACCTTTGTGTGGCCTCGATCGCACTCGTGTTACCTAGTCAAATGCTACCAAATGCGGTAGCACCGTAATCTAATAATGGTCTGGGTTACAGTTTTTGAGTGACAAAAGCTTAACATCGTTTGTTATAAACAAGCAACCTATCATTCCAATGGTCGGTCATGTTTTAGCCACCGTATAAGCAAGTCAAGTCAAGTCAGCATAAGCTTTATGAACCCTAATGGGTTCATTTCAGCGTTTACACCACCATTGCGGACACCTGGAGGATATATATATAACATAATAATATAACGTATACATACAGGCTGACTGGCGCTCCTGAAAGCCAGATTCGTGAGGAGCAAGCCGGGTTTCATCGGGGTCGTGGCTGCATCGACCACATCTTCACCTTACGTCAGTTTTTGGAGCACCGTCACACATATTGGCGGCCCACCGTAGTCATGTGCCTTGACATCAAAGGTGCCTTTGATTCGGTTGATCAATGTGCCCTTTGAAATTGTCTACTCAGGAAAGGTGTGCCGGAGAAATATTTAAATGTTATCCCAGCATTATACGCGCAAAGCACGGGCAGAGTGAGGGCTTACGGTAAGCTGTCGTCACCCTTCAATATCTCCAGCGGTGTGAGACAAGGATGCCCGTTGTCACCTTTCCTCTTCAACTTCGCTATTGACGAAGTCATGGAGATTGTATTTACAGTACATGAATTGGAAGGTGTGGAGCTACTCCCAGGAGAACGACTTCTTGACTTAGAGTATGCAGGCGACATTGCCCTCATCTGTGATAGCTCCCAGACGTGCCAAGTCGCGCTGGACAGATTAGCACTGGCTGTCAGCCGCTTCGGGGTTTGCTTCGCACCATCTAAATGCAAAGCGTTTCTCCAAGATTGGCAGGGATCGCCTCCTACGCTGACCCTTGGTGGGGATCAGCTAGAAGTCGTTCAGAAATTCAACTACCTGGGAAGTTGTATCAGCGCCCTTGGGATCGAAGACGAGATCATGAACCGTATAGCAAAAACTCGAAGTGTTTTTGCTAACCTTCATCACCTATGGCGGCGGCGCGACATTACTCTTGCGCTGAAGGGTAGAGTGTATAATGCAGCGGTATGTTCGACCTTACTGTACGGTTGAGAAACCTGGCCCCTAAGATCGGCGGACATAAAGAGCCTAGTTACGTTCGATCATCGGTGCCGTCACGGTTTGGCTCACATCTGGTAGGAACACCGCGTGAGTAACGAGCGTGTTCGACGTCTTGTTTACGGTACAGAAAAAGGAAGTGAGCCGCTCAGCACCGTCATTTCACGCACCAGACTCCGATGGCTCGGCTACGTGGAGCGCATGCCAGCCCACCGGCTTCCACGACGTGCGTATTTTTGTTTACCGGGGATGTGGATGGAAGAAGACCAGGGGTGGCCAAGCGTGACTTGGTCCAGGGGAATGAAGTCC